TTGCAGAGTGGATTTTAGCAAAGGATTAGCAAAGAAGATGGTACAGGATTGTATACTGGCTACAAGCACAGGCCCCGGGTGGCTCTGCCACTTGCTACTGTGTGGCCTTGGTCTAGCCCTGTAGCAGCCTCTCTCTAAACCTCAGTTTCCTCATCTGTAAGTTGGAAATGATAATAGAATCTACTTCAGAGGGTTGCTGTGAGGATTAAATAAAACAATCCATAATAAATGTTTGATACAATTTTAATAAGCATGAAGCACTTAGTATGATGCCTAGCACATAACAGATATTTAATAAACAGTAACTATAAGTAGGACCATATCATAAGCATATACATGCTCTGAAGAAAGGCTGGATAAATGTCAGAAAAAAAAAAAAAACACATGGAGCGTCTGAAACAAAGAGCTCATACTAATGGATTCTGGGACAGGGGCTTATGCAAACTATTACCAACAAATTCCCTCTGTCAAATCTGTCATACACATTAGCTGGTGACCATAGTACCACTGTGCTCATATATACAACCCACATCTCCAGGAAAGACAGCTCACAACAATAGTGGCATCTATTCTCCACGGCGTCTTTTCCCCAAGGTTTTCTTTAATGAGGGTGTCCAAACTGCTAAAGAATATACCAGAGATGAGGAGAGACGCCTGTGTGAGTGGAAGTGGACCATCCAATTCTGTAAACATTTATCGAGCATCTACTATGAGCCAGGAAATATCCCTCTTTTTCCTGTTATAACTAAAGTGGTGACCCTGTAAACATAATTTTGCTGTTCTAGAATAAACTTTCATCTTATTTACAACTTTATAGAGCTAACATTTGGGAATTTTCCTTTTTGAAACCAATTTAACACGGTGGACACAGCTGAATTAGACCTGACAGGGTGGGTATGACTGAAAACTGAATCATCAGTTGGCATAGTTTACCTGGCACTGACAGAGAGAGTGGGCAAAGGAAGCGTGGTCTATATATGGCAAGAATCTGTGATCATAGTCAGTCAGCACAAGCTTCTTGGCATGGTCTTCCATGTCCTCTGTGATCTGGCTCCTTCTTCCTCTCTCGCTTCTCTCCCACGTGCTCCCTCAGCTGCCATCATCCCACCCTGCATATAGAACCTGATCCGTCCTCTCCACCTTTGTTCCAACTCTGTATGGAATGCGCTTAAACCACTCCACCCCCAGACAAGACTGTAATCGTCTGTGGGCATGCCTGTCCCTCAACACGTGCAGCTTCTGGAGGGCAAAGAGTGAATCTTATTCATATCTATATCCACAACCCCTAAGCTAGGGTCTGCAGATAGGCAGCCGGGAGCAGTGGGAAGGGCATAGAGTTGACAGTTGGTTTCAAATGAAATATCTGTTTCAAATGCAAGCTCTGCCACTTACCAGCTGTGTGACCTTGGATAAGTTAACCTCTGTGTACTCTGATTTCTTCCTCTGCAAAATGGGGACAATCAGGCACTTACTGTATTGGGTTGTTGGGAGAATCGAATCATCATGTGTGTGTAAAACACAAAAGAGTGCCCGGCACGGGGTAAGAGCTATGTAAGAGTCCATTATAGTTGTTGTCCATTATCATTGTTACTGTTGTTGCTGTTGTTAAATGTACGTGGTATAAAGAAAAGTGAAGGAGGAAGCGGGGTTCTGCCTGCAGCCAAGCAAACGTCCGAATCTCCCTGCTGGCTGGGCGCTGCCCTGCTAAGTGGACTGTGCTGTGTGGCCCTCGCTAGGCACTCGGAAAGGGAGACGCAGAGCGTCTGGCGTTCATAACCCTATTTCTTACCATGGCTAGCCACCCACCCCTGCCAACATCAGCCAGCTGGGTACTCCCGTATCCTAGACACTGGCTCAACTTCAGTAGACGTTTCTGCTGCTGGAAGGTCAGTGTTGAGTGTTAGAGATGCTCTTGTCTAACATCATCCCCTCAGCAGATCGGACACTGAGGCCTGGAGCGGTCGTGTGTCTGCACTTTGTTGGTACCTGGTTTATGTAGCTGTTACCTGCCATGAAGTCAACTTTGTAGCAGGTTTAAACTATAGTCATAGTTTAAAGCTGAAAGGAACTTTCAAGTTTGCCTAGTCTGGCACTTTTCAAACTCCACATTCTGGGGTGTCAAGATGAGATGTGGGCTCTGTTGCAAATATCATTCGTTCCTTTGGTGAATATTTATTGAAAACTTTCAACGTGCGGGGCACTGGGGACACAAGTCAGACACTACCCCTGTCCTAGACCTCAAAGACCAATAGGACAGAGTGGCATTAAGGAAATAATCACACATCTAATAGTAAAGTTTTATTGTTGTGAATCATGTTTTAAAATATACTAGAATATACTAGTCTGAAAATACAATAGTACCCTAGAAACTGCCCACTCCACTGGGCTCATCAGTGCAAGGCTCTTGTGTGGACTAACATTACCATCGTGTGGCTGCAGCAGTGGAGGGGCTGGGAACCACTGAACTAGCTCAACCCACCCCGATCTGACAGACAGGCAAACTGAGGCCTAAAGAGTTTAACGCACTTGCCAAGGTAGCACAGCCAATAAATGGAAGAAGCTTAAAATTCTGTAGTGGCCCACACAGCCTTCCAAAAAAGACCAACCCCCACAGCATGGCACACGATATGACCCCTGCCATTTCTCCAGCCTCATCTCCCACCATTCTGCTGCCCATGCTATGATCCACCCATTGTGAACCCTGAATGCACCTCTTTGCCCAAACTACTCCCTCTACGAGGGTTCCAAAGTCAACAGCCCCTAAGTAAGCCTACTCCTTTTCAGCACTCAAAACTGAGCTCAGGTCTCTCTCCTCCAGGAAGCCCTCCCTGAGCTGGCCCTCCTCCACCTCCCACAACACGTACACGTTTACATAAAGAGAGAAACACTCATCACATAATGTCTTCATATATTCAACAAAGATTTATTGAGCACCTTCTATGTGCCAAGCACCTGAGAGTACAGAAGTAAATAAAACAAAGCCCCTGCCCTCCTGGAGCTTACATTCTAATAAGGGAAACAGACAATAAACAAACAATACATAATACAGTACCAGGTAGAGTTTAGTGCTATGGGAAAAATAAATAAATAAAGAGCATGGGTCAATAGAGGAATCAACAGGGAAGGCCTGTCTGCGAAAGTGGCATTTAATCAGAGATCTGAAGTGACAGAGCAAGGTATACACATAACTGGAAAAAAAAGCATTTCAGAAAGCAGCGTGAGAGGCCCTGTAATTACTGCAAGGATTTATTCATTTGTGTTTTATCCCTTACTGAACTATAAGGTCCTTGAGGGCAAGGGTTACTTATATCTGAAGCATCTTTGATCTGCAGGCCCAGCATCC